GTGTGTGTGTGTGTGTGTGTGTGTGTGTGTGTGCGTGTGTGTGTGTGTGTGTGTGTGTGGTACCTGTTTTTGGTTAGGGTGGTGTGGGGAAACTGGAGTACCTGGAGAAAACGAGGGAAAATCACAACGGGAACATTCAAACTCCGCACAGAAAGACCCCAGGTCTGACCCTGGGATCGAACCCAGGACCTTCTTGCTGTGAGGCATCAATGCTAACCACTGATCCATAGTGCTCTTCTTTTACAGAAGAGTGGATGCAGGAGAGGAAAAGGGGAGAGAATGATAAAACAGTGTACCAGACTTTCAGTAAAACAGTGGCAATACTCAAGTCTGTCCACTTGTCTTTTCTAGTGCTAGAAATGTCTCTGATGAAAGAGAGGAAGGACTTGGCTCCTCAAAGACATGTTACTCCTTCCAGTTTGCTGTTTTTATGAGGAACTACACAAGCGGCAGCAGCATATTTTCTCTGAACAAAACTTAAAGGTTTGCAAAAAAGACGAGGATCAAAGATGACCAAATGGGAGCTGACTGAACAGTCACCTGACCTCAGCTCTAACTTGCGAAGGAGATCTGTGATCTCTGTGGGGTTTGCCTGGTTAAATAAAGGTTAATAAAATAAATAAAAATAATTCTGTGAATCTTATACATGCATTTATGAGATTTTTTTTAGTTTTTTGTAAAATGTCCAGTTGTCCCCTGTGATACAACAGAGGGAACCACAGATGCTTTGTTGTTCTTGCTTTAGTACATAAGCAATTCAAAATAAGCCAGGCCGTCCAAACAGAGCCACACACTCTCTGATGTTTAAAGTCAAGACTCATTTCTGTTTACATAACTTTGGCTGATTAGAGTCTTGTTTTTACTTACCTTGTCAAGATATTTTTAATGAAATTTCCTTCTCATGAAGCAATCGTTATTCTGAGTCATGACTTTTGCCTTTTACTATAATTTCAATACTGTCCAACCATAGTCGGAGGCACTGCCACTTCTGTCAAAATCTTTCACTATATCCAGGATTAGCTACCCAGAAAGTTCATCTTTGTTTAGAGGAATGGCTTGACTTCTGATAATTTGACTTTTTTTACCACCGTCACAATGCCAAAACTGCTTGGAATGTAAAGCATAGCTATATGTAAGACTTTAGCTGCGAACTGTGTTTGACATAAAAAGATTATAAAAGCGGATCTGCTATTTCAATGGATTAAAAAAGGACAAGTGAAATGTTTATAAAATGTTACTTATACCAGTGAGTGTGGGGAAGGCTCTTACCAAACAAACTGGGATGACAAATAAAACAAAAGTTGAGGAAGAGATTGTCAACAGAAGTTTGTATATGTGAGTGTGATGAGAATGGCGCTTGCGTTACTTTGTCCACATGTAGGATAGAAAATTGAGAACAAAATACCGTACCTCGTTATTGTCATTGTAACAAGTATAACAAGATGAAGTGTCATCCTAGCTGTTTAAACAAAACAAATAAAGAAAAATCTAAAATTTAAGAGAGAAAAACATCATCATTCAACAAAAACAAAGTGACTCAACATAGCACTCTGCATGAAATAAATTGCCTTAAAAACGCTAAGGGACAGTTATTGCTCAGATAGCTACAAAATAAAAAAAAAAAACATTCAGTCTGGTTGTCCTTGCTTTAAAGCTCCTTTCCCTTTTGCCTGATGGCAACAGCTGAAACAGATTTTGACCTGGGTGTGAGGAGTCATTTAAAATATTTTTAGCTTTCCTGAGGCAATTCAGTTCTTCAAGAAAGGGTAAGGGACAGACAGCAATCTCTTGGGCAATCTTTATGAATCCCTGAAGTGTTAACTTCTGAGCTACTGTGCAGCTGGAAAACCTCATAGCAGGCAAACACATGCAGTTTTCAGTTCAAACATTTACAACTTCAAGCTGCAAATGTTCAGCAATATATCATCCCTATATGGTAAACTTTGAAAATGAAAGGATTTTCTGGCATGTCCTGTTGGTCATAGTGGGATGTTTGCTTAGGACACTTTTTGTGTCTTTCTGTGATGTCTCAGAGCAATTCTTAGAGTATCGACAGGTTGCACTGTCTTTTTGGGTAAGCTCTGTGGTTTGGGAGAGTGTTGTCACCATTATTGGATTCTGCATTATAACCAAGTGTAGGGCAGTTGTACATTATGTCCCACAGCTGATCATCTGGTTATGTTGTGGCCAATGTGTTCATTGTATTAGATTACCCCATATTCAAGACTCAATGAGAACTTTGATATTTTTTGTTTGTTTCAATCACTGCCACAGGAAACCTTCATGGACCTGTTTATAGAATCCACAACATTCAACAAAAAGATTTGATGGGATTGACAGAACAGGATGGTTTGGACACATATTTGTATAATGTTTTGAGCAAACATGTCTAAACTCTGCAGAACCAATACATATTGTGTGCACAGTTCTTGTGTGGGTGTATTTTTTTTATTTATTAATTTTTTTAGTAAAGCTCATTCATGCTGTCACTGTGGTCTGCTGATCACTAGAACCACCAACCCACTTTAATTCATGCTACTCCCACAAGGGTGCTCACGTGTGTGTATTTATGTGTGTTAGGGGGGTCTCTTTCTGGATTTATCTTCCACATATGTTACTGTCTCTCCTCCTGCTGTCATCTGTCACTGCCACTTTCACGCTAGCTCTTTATCTCTTTCTTTTCCCCTATTTAATGCTCTTTTCTCCCCCTCCCAAAAGACTAATGTCATTGTCTGCAGGTTGGGCACTTAGTGGCTCTCCCTCTTTATCTCTCTTTCTTTGTCTCTTTCTGTCTCTCTTTCACACACACACACACACACACACACACACACACACACACAC